GGATGAACAAGTTTAAGAGTTTTTAAGAGTTTTAAGAGTTTTTAAGAGTTTTAGTCAAATGCTTTATAATATAGTATAGATATAATTATAGTACAATAGCATATTTCACAAAGAAAATAGCATTTTATATGTGTACATTCATATATGTTTGCAATTAATCTCAGGATGACTACTTGTTTGCAGGTAATCCGGAGTTATCGTATTTGAACCTCCATAACCACAAGAAGATTCTTGTTCTTCCTTAAATTTAAACTTACGATCTCTAAACATTTTTATCTTCTGGAATCGAGTTCAAACCAATCAAATAGATTTTTTTTTTATTTAAGCAGAATTAATCATTGAAGATATAGATGGGATGAAAATAAGCAGAATTTAAGCTCAAACCGTCGGATCACTTCCTACTGCGACGTGGCAAATACCCATTTCACGTCTCTTCCTCTCCTCTGCCAAAACCACCAAATAAGTGACGAAAGAAGCAAACGACGTGGGTCTTTTCAGAACATGGGCAAGAAAAGGGTGGTGGTATCGAGCAGTGAAACGACAGCGGTGGTGGTGGAGCAGCTGCGGGGGTGGGAAGGGTTGAATCCAGAGATACTAGCACTGATTTTCGTAAGAATACCAGCAGATGCGATGGTAAGGGGTGTGCCATTTGTGTGTAAGCCATGGATGGAAGTGGTGGCCGGACCATACTGCTGGCATGATATCGATGTGGAGGCGTGGTGTCGCCGTCGCGACGTAAGTCGTGCGGTGGACGTAGACTTCGTGGTGAAAAAGCTGGTCCGCCGGAGCAAGTTTACAGTTCAGCGACTTTCCGCCTATCGCCTTGGAGAATCCGGATTCTTCTTAGTTTCCATCTGGTACGTCTTAATTTGTAATCAAGGTGTTTGATTATTTTATGGGTGTTTGAAAACCCTTGTTGTTGCAGTGGAAGAAGTCTGAAAGTTCTGCAAAGCCCGATGAGTAGCATCACTGATTATATGGTTATAAAACATATAAAGCCATTGCCAAATCTGAAACTTTTGGATATCAGCCATTGTTACAAAATCACACACAAAGGGATTGCAGCATTTGGGAATCATTGCAAGTCTTTGATTCATTTGAAAAGAAGGATGCCTCCACTATTAGATGAAGATTGTTCACCAATCGATGATTCTGAAGCCAAAACCATAGCTACCACCATGGTTAGTCTCCAGCGTATCGAACTTTGTTTTGGTCGATTTGGTGATATGGGTATTTCTGAAATCGTCACAAAATGTAAGTCGTTAACTCATCTCGATATTGAAGGGAGTTGTAATGTGGAATTGAATTATGGTGATCTTAAGGAGATTTGTGAAAGCCTCGAGCATTTCCGGTGCCCTCAGATTGATTATAGTGATGGTTTCTTTGACAATGATGAAGCTAGTGAAGACGTTGATTCGGTGTCGTCGATATATGATTGAGATTTTGGTTGGTTTCTTTTGATCTTTTGCTTATTTTGAAACATGCAAACATGAGAAGAAAGTGAGTACAGATATATAGAAGATATATGGATCTGAATGGATCAGAGACTTTGAATACAAAGTGTTGTTTTGGATTAAGGTTTTAAATTATGGTATGTTTTGTGGGCACATGAAATGTTATCGGTACAAAATAGTTAAGACATTAAACCGATTGCGAACGATAGGATAACCGTCTTTAATTTTTGGATTTTTGGTGTTTAGGGTTTGAAATTTTATGGTTTACAACAGATTTATATGCTCGAAATTTGTCTTTTAATCGACTTTCATGAGATTAATGGTGGATGCCTTTGGGTTTTTTAGACTCTCGCAATTACGATTTGAGTTGATCAACCATTTGGTAAGGCGTATAGAAATGATTAATAAGGGTTTGCCATGCGAGTGCTTATTAGTAAAAGAGCACTGCCACCATTGGATAAGATTATAACATGTTACAAATGGTATCATATGTAATAGTTTATCCGCTAAGTGCAGATCGGGAAGAGTCGTAACTCTTAATTATCGGGTAGCACCGTTCTTATCGTGTTAATTTTTTGTTCTTGCCATGTTCGATCATACAATAAGCTTAAACGTAGGTAAGTGTTTACTAAGGCTATGTTTGGCAAACTATATGGTGATGAGCTAATTGATGAACAAATCATGTTTGGCAAAAACTAGTTGATAATAATATAAAATGACCATGAATGGTATTTTAAAAAATTAATCAATCATAATATTTCAAAATAAAATTGAAAATAATATAATATATTAAATAAAATAAACAAGATGGTAAAAAAAATCCTTCTCCCATGTACCTAAATTTTCATTTCAGTTTAAACCAAAAGAATAAAAAATTATTCATATTTTCTTTCCCGTCATTTCAATTTCATTTTTATTTATGTGCCTGAATCGTACAACCTCTTAATTATATCAAATAAAATCAAATTAATTTAAAAAATGGGTGGTAAAATCCACGCTAGAAACAACATTTCTCATCTCCAAAACGATTTTGGACTATTTGATTTGCGGATTAAATAGTTTGATTAACTGAATAAAGTAAATTTCAGTTCCTGTTAATTTTTTACCATGTACATTAACCGTATTATAGGCAAAATATGTTTATGAAATGATGTTCATATGACCACCCCAGTGGTGAGACGTGCATTCAAAGTCAAAGACGTTATATCGCTAAATTTATAATAAGAATATTTTATCAATTGTTTAACGAAATATAATGTCTTCATCAACATTAAATAATAAGTTTGGTTAGCCCTTGACGTGTCATGAGGCACACAACATGCAACTTAAGATACAAGGATGTTGTAAATGGAATACAAGCATTGATGATGACATCTATTTGAGATTAACCTTCCAAATTTTCTTTATGTGATAATTACATCTTTTTTGAACAGGGTTCGACTCTTAAAGCAACTGCAGTTTTAAGTTTTCGTGAACTCATCAGATCTAAAAGTAGATTCAATTTGATCTCGAAAAGTCAAGAATAAGGTTCATAGAAAGCTCTTTGAAGAATGCAACGTGGGCCCATCAAACACAAGCCGAAACAACATGAATTGATACAATCACAAGCTGAAACAACATTGTACGGATGAGCAACAGTGGTAAGCAACTGGTACAGGTAAACTGCAACAACCAATTGGATTACACTGAGACTCCCCCACATGCTCCATTCTAAATTTATACAAATTAACTACGATATTATAAAAAGACCATTACAAGTTACAACACAATACTTGGTTAAGTGGAAATAACGTAAATTCAGAAACAAATGAAAAGCATCCACATGGTTGATATCGTCTAAAATGAGACCAATTAATGAGACTCTAAAGTATCTAAAATAACGTATGAGCATTTTGAATCATTGTCTATGAAGCAAATTGTCTTTGTTTGCTTAGAATTTGATCCTTCTTGTATACCCTCGACCTGCGAGTTACAAAAATATCTAACATATAAGTTGAATTCATGTCTTTTCACAAGCAAAATTGAACACCCAACTGTGTTGTATAACTTTTTGAGGTCAAATTTAGTCTCTTTACGAGAATCAAAAGAGTTCATGAAAACTGAAAACTGCAATAAATTGCCTGTGAGAAAACGACATAAATGTATGTGAATAACTTTCAATTTTTGGCCGAAGAACTTGCTAACCAAAAGAAATCAATATCAAGAATCTTAAAATGGTTGAGAGAAGGAATCTTCTAAATAGACTTGTGATTGTAAAGGAAGACAATGAGAATCTCAACTTAATTGTTTCTTCTTGTTTTCTTATATTTAGTTTTGTCTAACATTCGAAATATCAAATAATCAAAACTTCAGACTTCAACTTCCTACCATCAGGTCCAATTTGAGCATCCTAACGTTGATGTAGAAGTTTATATTGGAAACAACACCGCCTACTGTATTCAACTTTTAATCTGGTGAGCATCCTAGAGCTTGCTCTACTTTCACTTTGTATCCCTGAACATGATTCATCACATATAAAATATATCATGACAAGTTAACATTTTGAATGTTGCATTACAAGTTATTCCATACCACCCAATCTCACAAATTACTGCAATACGTATTGTTTATGCCATTATGACATTGCTATTAGGCTCACCAACCTCTAGAGAGAGAAAAAAGTCAATGCTTTTGGCTTTGGCTGAAAAACCCGGGTCAAACTTAAAAATAAGAGAACATAATCTAGTTAATTCGTAGAACACATGAAATTTATCTCTATCTCACCCATAATCTACTTGGCACATCGCAAACTGATCAACCTTGGCATGGTATGTGTATCATTTAGTTCATATCATTCGAGTAAATTCTAAATGAAATGTTGGCAAAAATGTCAAGAAGAAATAAGGGTGCAAAACATCAAGTCATATCTTGAGAAAGGTGATTAGAAGGGTATTCGCGCAATGCAGTGAGATACATTTTTATTTTAATGTTTCGTTTTATTTTTTTGTCTCTGTTGATATAATACGTTTTATATGGTTCTGAGAAAGATAATGTTTTTACTTTTGAATAAAAATAAATTTGAAGACATCATAAAAAAATGATAAAATATATCGATATTAATATCAAATTAACTATTTAAATGTTCTTTTTTTTTTTACATTTTATTTAATTTATTTTTTTATTGTAATTTAATTTAGATCAAATAGTGAGATAATTTATTTTTGGCTTAACAATAATTTTTTGTAAAGATAATGATTTTGTTAGAACTCATGATTATTCTAATTATATTATATATTTTTATACTTAAAATGAGATGTTTATCCTATATTTGATTATGTTTATCTACATTTAGTTATATGAATTCAAAAATGAAGCTTTAATAAGTTGTGCTTACGCATAATTTACTTGTAATCTTAAATTTTAAGTAATATGCGTTAATACAGAGTACTTCATGCATAAAGAATGATTTTTAAGAGTTAGGGTACTCGCGCAATGCAGCGAGATAAATCTCGATTTTAATGTTTAGTTTTTATTTTTTGTCTCTATCGATATACTACGATTTTATGTGGTTTTGAGAAAACGATAATGTTTTTATTTTTGAATGAAATATAAATTTGAAAAAACTAAATCGATATTAGTATCAAATTAACTATTTAATAGATCTCGTTTTTTTGGAGTAACTTTTTTAATTCAAATTTTTATTATAATTTAATTTACATTTAATAAACAAGTAATTTATTATTGGTTTAACAATATAATTTTTTATAAAGATAATAATTAAATATTATGTTAGAATTTAATGAATATCTTAATTATATTTTAGATATTCTATATTTAAAATGAATGTTTATCCTGTATTTGATTATATTTATCCGCAGTTAGTTATAAGAATTTAAAAATAGAGCTTTAATAAGTTGTACTTACGTAAAATTACTTGTAATCTTGAATTTTAAGTAATATGCATCAACAAACAGTATTTCATGCATAAAAAATTGTTTTTAAAAGTTTTTGTCAAATGCTTTATTATATAGTATAAATACATGCTTAGAAATGCACTTCAATAATTATTAACAAAGAAAAACATAGGTTAATGACATGTTGAAAAGGGCAAACCAATTAACTAACCAAGTATTATATACTTAGTACTATCTAGACATGTCAAAAACTGGTTCGGGGCCGAAACAGTAACAATCCGGACCGGTCCAGGTCCCGTCGAAAATACTAAGGCCCAATTAATAGTACTTGTAACGGGTTATGGTAACCGGTCCTATATTAAAAAAAAACATTTTCTTTTTATATATTTTTTTGATAAATTTTAAAAAAATACTTTAATATTATTCTAATATACTTTAAAATATCTAATTAGATCAATCAAATACACTTAAAAAATATGTTTTATTGTAATTTTATAATTGGTTTTCAATCAAACGCACTTAAAAATTACATTTTGTTATAGTTTTATAATTGGTTTTCAATCAAATATACTTAGGGGGTGTTTGGGATTGCTTATTTAAAACAATTTATGTTTTTTTGTAAAATTGCTTATTAACTTATGTGGTATCAAACTGGAGTTTTGTAAAAAGTGTTTGAATTAGCTTACAGCGGTACCAAACTGCAATAAGCTAATAAGTTGTTTTTTAGTGTTTGACAAATTTTGCTTATATCTGTAAAATGACCAAAAAGGACAGAGAGAAGATTGATGTTGTTATATGGAGAAGGGAGAAGATTGAGATCGATGTTATCTGGTGGAAAAAAGATAGGTATAAAGGGTAATAGGGTTAAAATGGTAAACTGGTAATAAGCAGTTTTTCATAAGTCAGGACGGATTAACTTATCAAAAACTGCTTATTACCGGTTTGGCACCGGTATAAGCAGTTTTCTTTTTTCTTATCCAAACACTAGGTATTAGCTTATCAHCGGTGHCAGACTGAAATAAGTCAATAAACAGATAAAATAAGCAAATCCCAAACACCCCCTTAGAAAGTTAGAAATACATATAAAAATACTTTTTTTTTAAATCGGGCCGGTTCTGGGCCTATAACCATTCTCAAACGGTCCCGGATCGGACCCATTTGGTCATCTCTAGTACTATCTAATGCAATGATATATGCTTTATCTTCTTTGGTTACTTTGGCCATTACTTAATGATTGTTTACAATTAAACAAAAAAAACAATATAAAAACCTATTTCTCTTGAAGAATTAATGTTTGACTATTCACAACTTCAAGAAACTCAAGATCATATTCGTATTCATGAAAAACTTGAGAAAATGTATTGTTGCAAACAAAATTGAACTTAAATTTTGCTAAATCAATTAGTAATGAAATTTAATCAATTAATAAGAAACTAATATACTACACGAGCTAACTACGAGGTAAGCAATCCTTTCTAGTTTCTACCAACAATTAAGATTAAGATGTGAGACAACTATAAATTTAGATACATATTTTCTAGATAATTTCAATGAGTTCATAAAAACTAACTTCATTATTTCTTTTAAGTGTAATAACCCGCTCTCATCTCCTACCAAACATTCAACAATTCACACCTGACGATCATCATGTCGGTGCTTATACAACCAGCTTCGAACTTACAGCATTTTCACCAACAGATTATGGTCACAAGTTCCATACAACCATCTTTGTGTAAAGTGAAAACATGCTTACTTCTGTTTCAACCATTTCTACAACTATAAATGTCATTGTTTTATGAAATATGTCATAGGCCGGCTAAAAACATGAAGTAAAAAGCAAACCTGAAATCGAGATGAACGTATTGAGAGATGGGAGATACGAAGAGGAAGAATACAGAAAGTTGGATAGTTTAATTGGAAGTCAAAGAAAAAGGAACAGTGATACTGGTTGAAGGAGTTGCCACGTGGAATCTCGATGGTTCAGGATTATATAGGATGTATAGATTGATAGAGTATTTATTATATATAAAAGTGAAATGATATATACATATATATATATATGACAGAGAGAGCGATGATGATAAATGAAAAGAAGTTGGAAAGTGGGGAGATAAAAAGTACAAGTTTAGGGTGCAGGGGGTACAAGAGGCGTTGCAGACTAGTAAAAGATCCCAACAGGAGAAGGTATAAGGTAATTTGTCTTTTGTATATTTGATGCAGACAGCCACAGCCACTGCCACACCCACTCCAAAACACAAATACTAATATTTCTTTATTTATTTATTATAAAATTATTATTATTTCATTTTGGGGGCTCTTTCTGTACAACTCCCCATACAGAATGCCCCCCAACCATCAAATCAAATATCAATTACTAATACTATTGTCTTACATATACAAAACCATTTCAGGATCTCATTAACATATACCCTTTTTCTGATTTCTTTTATTACTTTTTTTAATAAATTATGCCAAACTCACTCACTTCATTTCATTTATCAACATAAATAAATACATTTTTATACGTTGTCACCCGCATTTTCGTTTAACATTTTTTAAAATAAAAAAAATAGAGATTTTTAACCTATATTTTATTTTAACAGTTTTTTAAAACTATCTTTAAAATAAAGAAAGTATGAAAGAGAATGATTTTTTCTTCAAATATAGAGATTATTCCAAAAGCTATTATCAAGTGAGAGCATCAATACTAAACTTTAAGAATAAATATTTAGAGAAATAAATAATATTTTAATATTATAATCAATGTTGATTCTTTGAATAAGGAATCTATTAGAAATAAATGTAATTTTTTTAAGATTTTGACTTTTAATTTTTCTATTTATAGAAATTTTAAAGAATCTGTTGAAAATGCCCATAATACTTGTAAATAAAAAAGGTGTGGGTTTTTAGAAAAATTATTATTGTAGAAAGCTTCTATAAAAAAACGCACATTGTTTAAGTTTTGTACAAAAACTTTGTTTCTTACCTTAAACACAAGAGTGATGTCTGATTGGTTTGAACTTGGCTCCAAAAGTCAAAAGTACCAGGAGGTCTCAGGTTCAAATCCAAGGAGGAATAAAAATCCCCTTGTGGCCACAAAGGTTCAAAAGCGGTGACTCCGGGCTATCTGCAAAGCAAATGGTCGCCTTAAGATTAGTCGGTTCGCATAGCAGGTTGGATATCCAAGTTAATCAAAAAAAAAACTTTGTTTCTTACCTTAAATTCAGTGTTGAATGACTTTTTTGTTAGTATTTAATATATTTTATTGACTTTATAATATTATTGATATTGAAAATAAATACATGAAACCCACAAAATTGATTCTTACAAGACTATTGTGAAGTTTTATGTATGTTTTTAATTTGATGAGGTGGAAATTATATGACAAACAAAAATATATAAACGTTATGTTTGGCAAACTAGTTGACATGCTAAGTAAAAGTTGATAAATTAAGTGATAAACAAATCATATTTAATAAAAACTAGATGATAAGAATATAAAATGTAAAAAAAAAAAGTGTCTTTAAACATTAATCAAATATAATAGAGTTAAATACAATTTTGGTTCCTGTTGTTTACATAAGTTAACGAGTAAAGTCCCTCGAAAGAATTATTAAAGGGGGAAGTCCCCATAGTTTCATCTTTATAACGGATATGGTCCATTCTATAACTCCTTCAGTTTAGTTTTCGTTAGTGAGGGTCAATTTTGTCACTTATCCTCCTCTTCTTCAACTTCAATTTTCAATGATGAATTGGGTCCCTCAAACTACTTTTCAATTCATAACATATTTAGTCCCTCAAACTAATTTACATTATTTATAACATATTTGGTATCTCAAATTGTTTTTTATTTCTATAACATATTTGGTTCCTCCCCAACTCTTACTCAATAATTTATTTAACAAATAGAAATAAATTTCCCACAATTACAGGTAGGGGTGTACAAAAACCCGTGAAACCTAATCTGCTAACAACTCAATTAAGCCTAATTCGCCAAACCGTCAAACCACAAACCTGCCAAATCGCTAATTAGAAGTGTTGAATTTGGGTTAGCATAACTTAACCCGACCCAACTCAAACCGCCGCTAACGTATATTATTTCGATACTTTATATATATATATATATATAATATATACGGCCGTTATAATTTACAACTCAAAATATATATACACATTAGTCCAATTTACAAGTCAAATCCCCAAATTAATCAACTTAGGCCAAGTCCACAATTAATCCAACTAGGTCGGTGCTCTATGAGATATCCAGTAGTCGATCGATACGTCCCAATACCATTCCCCCCTTGTTCCCTTAACATGAGTGCACTGAAATGACTAAATCGAGCGTTGTTATATGATGTCAATGATTAATATGCAGTTTAGTATATGATTATCTCTTGAATAAATGCTCTTGGAAGTTAGAACCACAAATGTTTATAATTTGCTTTCTTTCTTTATATAAATTTTTGTTTTCATTGCATATAGGAATATATGAAGTATGTTTCAAAATATAAATCTCAAATTAGAAGTATGAACATATCAAGTATGTTTCAAACTAGAAGTTGGAATCATAAATTTTTGTTTCCATTGCATGTGCTCTTAGAAGTTTGTTTTTTATTGCATATAGAAATTTCATATGTAGGTTGTAACTTTGTATTCTTTATCCTATTTTCTAAGTATAGGAGCAATGGAAAATACTTCTAAATCTTAAAAAAAAACCCGAAAAAGGATAAAACAAACACTTTTATGAAGGGGAGGTAGAACCTCAAACGTTTGGGATCACTTTTTTAAAAAACAACTCTAGATACGTTTGTAATTAAACTTTGCTTATCATAGTAAGAGAATTGGTAGAAGAATTTCACGCTCTTCCTAATAGAAGATTAGGGAAATCCTATTGATTTCAGCTTTCTCCAGACGTCAGGGTTTTTGTATATTACTAATCCGCCAACCCAACACAACCCAACTCGTCATAACTCGCAAGAGTTGGGTTGAGATTTTTCAACCCGTCATAATTAAGTTGAGTGTAAAATTGTTAAAAACCATCCAATCCAACCCAACTTGCAAGAGTTGGGCTGGTTCATATTTTTGAATGAATTGAGTTGGATTAAGATTTTTTAAACCATCATAATTAAGTTGAGTTGTAAAATTGTTAAAAACCATCCAATCCAACCCACGTACACACCCTTAATCACACGAGGTTAGTACATGCCATTTGGTTTAAGTTTCAACGTTGAATCCATTTGGGGATGCAATTTTGCTTCAATACTCCATATTTAAGAATTGATGTGATGTGTCATGTGTGAGTAAGGAGGAGTATAGATAACAATTCATGTGACCATAAAATAATATAACAAAAATGTAAATAGATGAAAACAGAAAGGACCTAAAGTGAATGTCATAAAATAAAAGGGGTTGAAAGTGCAACAAATTAAAGATTCTTTACAAAGGTCACTTTTTTGTTTTCCTTTTTACATTTCCCATCATACCCATAACCATTTTGGATCTTTGCTACTAATAGTACTGCCAAAAAAATCTTTTCCATAACAAAGAACCCAGAAAAAGAAACACACCCAAACCCCATTTTCTTTCAACTTTTCTGTTCTGACCATTTTACCCCCCTCAATTTAGACCAAAGAAAACCTCCAAGCTTCCATTTTTTACAGTTTCACAAACAGGACAAAACATCAGTAGACCTTCACAAGTCCTGCAACAACAGAGATGCCTGCAAGGTAACAATAGGATGCACGAGCTTCTCACGTGACACGCCTTGCATACCATCTTCTTTTGTCTTTCTCTCTCCTCCTCCTCATCGTCATCGTCATCACCACCATTGCACACTGATTCTGCATCTTCATGCTTTCTCTCTCTAGCTTGGTTGAGCTTTCTGTTGAGGTCTGTCACCATGGCTTCGTTTTCAATGGCTTTTTTCTCCCAATCTTTGGCTTCTTTTTCTGCCATCAATAAACAGTTTTGAAGCTCTCTTGTTCTATTTGTTGCTGTGTTCAGAACGTCATCTTTTGCATCCATTATTGACTTCATCTTTGATTCGTAATTCTGCATCAAGATCACTTCTCTTCTTCTTGTTTCCTCGTTTAAAACTGCCTTTAATTTCTCATTCTGCTTTAACAGAAGATCAAAACACAAGCTATCAAATGCATGCCCCTTATTTCATGTGTACTCAACATGAGAATTGAAGGACACCCATGAAAAGCAAATCAAAATGTGCTGTAAAAAAATCAAAAGGGTAAAAAATGGAGAGGAAACGAAGAACAGCAAAACAAATGCATTCGACCGATGCATATGAAGATGAAAATTTATACAAGGAAAAAAATAAAAGAAGAGAAATCTGACCTGAAAATGAAGAAAACAGCCCATCTCTAACCTCTGCCTCTCAAGCTCAGATGACAAATTTTGGAATCCAATCATCCCATTTCTTCTCGAATACGATGAAGAGGATACAAGGGATGATGAAACAAGATTATGATAAGGAGAAGAAGGAGAAGCAGAAGAATTCATAATCTTTTGAGATTCAAGAAATCTTTGATCTTGGGGTTGTTCATAAGAGCAGAGGGTTCTGTTTTCATCCCCAATTCCGAAAACAGAGGAGCCAGTCATGAGGACCCAATCTTGTGGTAAATTAGCAAACCCCATGTTGTTATTATTCTGATAATAATCAGAGTACAACTGTGCTTGTACAGCCATAATCCCAAAAAGATGCAATCTTTGACCGTTTGAATCTGATGGGTATCAAAGAGACTGAATTAATTTCTTTGTGAGGGATGGAAGAAAGAAAAGGGTAGGTTAGAAAAGCTATGGAGGTAGAAGGGTCACGCTCTTTTATTTGTTTGTTTGTAACATCAGAACAGAAGCATGACTTTCTCTCTTTCTCTCTCTAAAAAGCTTTAAGTGGCAGTGGTTTAGTTCCCTCTTAAATGGGCAATTAACTTTCTTTTATGCATTGGTATGTGATTTAAAACTGAAAGGGGGATTATGAATGAGAGAGTAAGGTGAAAGGATCTTCTTTGTATAATATATATATATATATATATGTAGAGAGAGAGAGAGCGTATGTATATATATATAGAGAGAGTAAGAGAGAGAGTCTGTGAAAAAGGGTGATTTGGTGAAGAGTGGATTATGCTTAGGTAATGAAATGGACTAAAAATAGTGGGGGAGGGGAGAGAGTCTTTTGTTGTTTCTGGTTCAATTGTCAAGGAGAGAAAAAGTCTGAAAGGGGAGGGAGGGAGGGAGAGGAGTCATGCAGATTTTGTGACAGAAAGAAAGGGAAAATTAGTTTCATTCAATCAACTTGGGAAATGTGAAGTGGTCATAATCCATAGCCTAACTTCTTAATTCAATTCATAGCATCTGACCCAAAAAGCTGTGACTTTCGTATTCACGTATCTTCTCAAATAAATCTCTACAATTTAAACTATATAGCTTTAAATGAAGGATTGTATCAGAAACTCACTTAACCATAACCATAACAACACATCTAAACTATTAATCATTTTTAATCTTAAACTCAATCATAATTTAAGATTAAAAGATTGTTTATCAAATGCTTATTTGGCTAAACGTTTATCAAATCATATTACCTTACCTAATGAATATAAAAAGAACTATGAATCTTACCCGATAAAAGCAAATGCCAAAAATCTTACTTGGTAAGTGATGATGATGACACTTACCATGGTTAGCACTTACCGAGTAAGTTGTTACATACGATATCATTTTGGTGAACTAAAATCTTACGGGAAAGCACTTTACCGGATAAATGTTTAGGTAAACAACCCCTGAGTTTTTCTAACATACTTTTTTCCAATTCTTTTTAACTACGTACATACGAGCATTTCTAACCCATAAGTTATTAAAAGATTTTTTACTTTAACCTCATCAGTTTTTCACTAACGTTTTTTTTACAAAAATCTATTTTTATAAATCATCTCCAATGCAAAAACTTTTTTAAAAGCTTTTTCATCAATTATATTAATAATATATTCTCATCTATTTACTATATTTTATAAAGGCCCTTGATTTAATTTGTCAATTCAAAAACAAACAAAAATAAAAGATAACTATGTTCGTACAAAAGTATATTGACCATGACAAAAAAAATCAATTCATTAAAAAAAATGAAAACGATAAATAGATGATATACACACACACATTTTCAAATGCAACCGTTACAACCAAGAGTATTTCGGTCTTTTTACAAAACTCGTATTTTTAGGAATAATTTAGATTGTTCTTAAAAAATATTAATTCTTTAATTATCTTATTCGGTTACCAAACGTAACGGACTCCGTATTTTTTAGAATAATTAAACTTTTTTCTTAAAAATTATTAATTCCTTAATAACTGAACCATTACAAGAATAATTCATAACCAATCATAACTATAACACAAAAACAATTCATAACCATAGTCAAAAATTCATCATTTATGAAACAATATGAAAAATGATCCACGTATGAAAAAAAATCGCATACAAAAATGATCCATATACAATAATTCATCATTTTTTCATATATGAAACATTATGAAAAATGATCCTCATATGAAAAAACTGCAGACAAAGACGATCCATATACAAAAATTCATCAATTTTTTCATATATGAAACAAAAAATGATTCACATATGAAAAAATTCATCAACTTTTAATCTTCGTCACTTTTTCACGAACGGATTCATAATCTCAGGGATGAAAACTTCCGACTATTTATATTCTCCGACCACCCATGCAACTTGTTTTCAGTGTCGAAAAAACAGTTACTCTATTTAATCTTCCATATTTAAAAATAAGAGTAATGATTTTAATATATAATTATCACCATTAATATTTTATATTTTTTTTATTAAATTAAAAATACTACATCAATTACAAGATTATCTATTACAAAGTAAAATGACATTCATACTCTTGTTCATTAAAAATAAAGAGAAAAACATGAAATTTTATTCTATTGGTTGATGGTGGTTTATATTATTTGTATGAAATAGGAGGTTTACAAAGTAAAACCCCCCCTCTCTATCTCTCTCTCTCTCTATATATATATATATATATATTGGTGTCGTTTTAATTGTCTCACGAGAACTTGTTGATGATATATTTTCTTATAAAATATTTACTTCTATTTAATAAATTAGATTAATTAATAAATAATAACAAAAGATTAAAATGAAAATAAGAATGAATGATGTGAAAATTTAATTGAGAAAATACTGTTTGATCAACCATTTAGTCTTTGTACAATAAACTTTATAAAAAGTCTTTACTGGAATGCTTCAATTAGTAATAAGTTTTTAAAATAGTTACCATTGGAGATACTCAAATTAAAAGCATTTCCTTTCAAATATAAATAACAAATCTTTTATTTTTATATTATTTTCTAAAGTAAGAAAAACACGAAAAAAAAATCCAAATTTAAAGAATTCTCTAAAATTAGTATGAGTTTTTATTGATTTTAGCTAATGAGATTGAATTGTTATTTTTTTATATAATTTTTTTATTTAGAAAATGCATTGAAATGATAATATTGGAAAATATTTAATAATATAATTAATTTCAAAATCTTTAAAATAGGGAATATGTTGGAGTTGAATATAATTTTTTTACAACCTTTAACTTTTGATGCTCCATTTTCAAAAAAAAAATAGAAAACATGTTGAAGATGCTCTAAAAATGTTTATATATGGAAATTCTTAATTTTTTACGATTTTTAAACCTTTTAATTGAAAGCAGTGGAAAAACAAAAAGGCATGGCGAGTTTTATGTCTGTGAGAGAGGAGTTCATGCATATTTTCGGTGTTATATTTCAATTAAATGTATATATTAAGTATTTATTCTTTTATTTTTTTCATTCGTTCTTTTGTTAGCGGGGTTAAAAATGTGAATTTGGTCCGTTGGATGAGGTTCAACAGAGGGGGAGGCGGATGAGGTTTGTTGGAGAGAGAATAAAACAGGGAGGACCGAGAGGGAGAGGTTCATCGACGAGATCTAGAAGCTAGGCTTGTAACGTACCATAGATGCGCATAATATTATTAATTTATTATGTATATATTAAATTACTTTATTATTATTTTTTGAAAGAATAACAAAAGTTTAAAGTAAAAGATGGATTTTCTCTCGAGTAAAAACACATGTTTATTTAGCTGGAAATCCCCATCTCGACCGAGACGGATGGACCGTGTTCCATGACGGATCGAGGCCCATGTCCAAGCTTACATGCTATAGTTCCTTTTTTAATACTAGAAGAGTATTCGCGCAATGCAGCGAGACATATCTCGATTTTAATGTTCTATTTTATTATTTGTCTCCATCAATGTTATAATACGATTTTATGTGTTTTTAAGAAAGCAATAATAATTTTATTTTTGAATAAAATATAAATTTGAAGATATCATAATAATTTAAAGAAAAAAATATATCAATGTTAATATCAAATCAACTATTTTAAAAGTTCTCATTTTTATGTAATTTTTTATTATAATTTAATTTACGTTTAATAACGAAATAATTTATTTTTGGTTTAATAATATGTAACATTTTATAAAGATAATAATTAAGTATTCTGTTAGAATTCAATGATTATCTTAATTATATTTAAAAAAATTATATTTAAAATGAGATATTTATCCTGTATTTGATTATGTTTATCTGCAGTTAGTTACAAAAATTCGGATATGGAGCTTTAATAAGTTGTACTTACGCACAATCTACTTGTAATCTTGAGTTTTAAGTAATATGCATTAATAAACAGTACTTTACGCATAAAAAATTGGTTTTAAGAGTTTTTGTCAAATGTTTTATAATATAGTATAGATAATGTTTAGTATTTTGAATTCAATGATTATCCTAAATATATTTTAGATTTTTTATATTTAAAATGAGATAATTGTCTAGAATTTGATTATGTTTATCTGTAGTTAGTTACACAAATTCAAACATGGAGCTTTAATAAGTTGTATATATGGATAATTTACTCGTAATTTGAATTTTAAGTAATATGCATTAATAAACAGTACTTAATGCATAAAAAATAGTTTTTAAGAGTTGTTGTCAAATGCTTCATAATATAGTATAGATATATTTGTTGTCTTTTTAAAAAAAATAAATATAGATAATCCGTTTGAACGACACGGTTCAAAATTTAAACAAACCATAAGCACCAACAATGTAAATCACTATTTTTTAAATGATGTGTATTACAGGATAAATTACATGTACTATTAATTTTAGCATGTGTATTACATGTGAGAGAAAAAAAGTGATTTTGAAAATAATATTATGGTTTCTTAATCTTTTTTGGAGGATAATGCATATAGCACGAGTCATGTTAAATAAACGCACTCTATATGTTAAATAAATTCCTTATATAAATTTATTTATCCTATGGATAAAGAAAAACTGTTTCGACATCAAAAACATAGCAGACATTTGTTCATACTTCTTTTTTACATTTACATAGTATTTCATTTGATATCAAGAGGGTTTCTTGACAACAACAGATGTAATTCATTTGAAAAATAATGTAACTGTTAATATTAAACTATTATTTGTAACAATTCTAAAAATATGATAAAGCCATGGTTTTCAACTCTTCCATCTCTTAAATTGTCTTAACATTGAGTTTGTTCAAGTTGTTTGTGGGTAAAAAACAAAAGCTAGGCTCGTTATAGTATTTTAACAGTGGGAGTA